CAGCCACAACCATGCCTGCCTTTGCCTCCCCCCGGGCCCACACAGCCTCATTCCCTCCCTGCTGCCTCCCCCTCCATACTAGCTATTCTTGGGTGCCCCCTTCCTGCTCCCCTCCCTCCCTCCGTCTCTCCCTCCCTCCCTCCCCGCCGCCCCACCCTGACAACAGCCCTCATCGTGACCCCCGCCTTCACCTCCCCCTGCCCCTCTCTTCTACCTCCCTCCCTGCCCACCACCTCCCCCTTCCTGCTGGCTGTTCTGTGGGGTTGCAGGGATGGGCAGTGGAGGGGCACCACCACCATAACCCCACCCCTTCATCCTCAGGTATGGAGGTGTGGGGAAGCCCTGCTGCTCGGGTAGCCGGGGCGTGTTTGCCACCGCCACAAGCTTCCCTGGCAGTGGCTTAAACTTGGGCCCACTCAGCCAATTGCCCCCCTTCCTTTTGGCGGCACACAGGCAATGGATCAAAAGCAGTACAGACAGACCGACAGACAAAGCCCTTTATTATATTAGAATCTTGTATTCATTTTGTTTTTTATTTATAATATTTATTGAATTAAATTACTTGTTTTATTTTATTAAGCAACGTAGAACTGTTAGCCTTGGTCTCTTTGTGTTACGTTGATAAGTGCTGTCATCATGAACCCAATAGGAGGAAAAATCTATATTCAATTAAAAAATCTTCTGTACCATGACTTGTAAGAACCTGAAATTCAGTTTTTGTCATGCTTGAAACTGTTCACAAGCCTTCTTGGTACGGGAAATGGATTATCTGCAGTTATTGAGGTATCTGTTTCTCTATTTCAGATGTATTCCATTACAAAGAAAAAATGATTATCCCGGTGGCAGTGTGTGGGGGGGTTGGGTTTTGTTTTGTTTTTAATTTTTGTATTGTTTTGTTTTGTTATATGATTGCTGAGCAGGGGAGCAAGCTCTAGAGCAGATTCAAACATACAAACAAACCACCCTGTTTTCTCTTAAACCCCTGCTGGAAGCCACTGTAGCTTACAGGTGTGCTTCCCAAACACCTGACACGTTCACTGGGATTCAAAGCAATATATCTGAGACTTGCTAATGAGGAATGTAAAGACATAGCTTTATTACAACATTTGTATTATCTCCTAGTAAAATAAACCAGTGTATCATACATGTTTATGCAGTGATCTCTTTATAACACTGTTTTGCATAATAGTGTAAATAAGCAGCAGTTAAATGTACATTGTGCCTTTGCCTTTCCCAGCAACTAATCTGCCGAGAATCTGACATTTGACACATCTAAAATCCACGTCTAAAAACCTGTTTCTTTTTTCTCTCGATCTTTTCCAGTTACGTGAGGAATTTGACCGTGGCGTAGATGTTGTACTTGATGAAGAGCACAGCATCCATGATGTTGCTGCTTTGTTAAAGGAATTTCTACGAGACATGCCAGATCCACTTCTCACCAGAGAACTTTACACACCTTTCATCAACACTCTTTGTGAGCTTTACAACATCTTTTTCTTCCTTTTTCTGCTTTTCAAAAGCTCATCGTTCTAGAAGGCCACTAATGGTATTTCATTTTTTGAGTCATAATCATGTTTCCTCAGTTCATTTCAAATATTTCTGTATTTTCTCACTTGTTTTTTGGTTTGGGTACTGGATAGGCACACCACAAAAAACAAGAGAGACTCTGAGCAATGTCCAGGTTATCCAGTGAATGCAGAAATCCCCACTTTCTTTCTGTATATGTGCACTCACACATCATATTTATGGGGTGGTATCCATGTGATATAATAAGCACCAATTCTATAACTGGATCCATAGCAACAGATCTCTGTGCTCATGTGAAATCATTCATTTTAAAGGGATATGCATAAGTGAAAGAGTCCAGCACAGTAGATCTGCTACTCGGGGCCTACAAAACTATTATGTAAATAACAGAGCCATATTATAAGGGCACATTTTTCAGAGTTGTTACTATCTTAACTGTACTCTGCCCACTAATCCCTTCTGTTCTGTTCTATCCTGTTCTTTCTCTATCATTCCAAACCTCTTCATAGCCTTGACCAGCCTCTATTTGAGGGGGAAAATCTTATCAAGGAAATGTTTCTTTGTCTTCCATAAAAATAAAACATTTCTGCTACACAGTAATATAACATCCTGAATCTCACAAGGGCAGTAATTCATTTCTGGCCATGGTATGAAGGTGTTCTGAGCTCTTATTTAGGGTGGTCTGCTTAACTGATACATAGGTTTGCCACTAATAGCAGTGTACCTGTCCACTTGTTTATTATAGTATATTCCCAAAAGTGTTGTGCATTTGAGTTTTTACATGACTTAAATGTACCTGTATGGAAGTCATACAGGAAACCCTTATTGCTGTTTCTTGTAATCATCTATTTTGTAAATATCAGCATAAACTACATGCATCTCATTGATTTGGGAACATTTAAATTTGCATCCTTCAAGCAGAGAACTGGATTTGTACTCTGTCCAGATTTCAGTGTCTGTGTTCTCGCTTGAGTGCATCTTCCTGCTTTTGACTAACATTTTATTTAAGGTGTTTGAAATGAGTATGGGCACTAAAGAATCTGTGTGCTATTCATTGCTGCTTTGCAGTTTCCATAAGAAATAAAATAGAAAAACAGTGAGTTTGATGATTAAAACATAAATCTGAATTGAATACTTTAAAACAGCAGATGCACAACTATATAAATAGAAATACATATTAACAAATATATAAGGAACCAAAGGCTGAGTCTTACCTTTGTTTCAAATGATTTTGATGGTGTGTGAATCTGATGTGGTTTCATTATCAGGTAGGACAGAATCATAAAATCCTATGAGCAAAACGCCAGAAACATATCTTATGCTCCTGTTGCTATGTGCTTAAAGTTTTCTGTACCTGCATGAAAACATTACGATAAGAATGGTCATTAAGCTCCTTCAAACCATTCTGTGCTTGTATTATTTTCAACAGGAGCAGTGTGTTTTTTCTGCATTTATTATATTAGTTTGAATTATTTCCTTACAGCTTTTATTTTTTCTTGTCCTAGTATTAGAGCCAGATGAACAACTAAGCACCTTACAGCTTCTCATTTATCTTCTACCTCCCTGTAACTGCGACACCCTACACAGACTCTTACAGTTCCTCTCTACTGTGGCTAGCCATGCAGAAGACAGCACAGACAAAGATGGCCAGGAGGTAAGTTCAGATCATTTACTTTCTTTGAATCCATGTTTCCTTAGATCAGAGAATAAATATTTAAAGAAGGTAGGTTAGAGATTCACCTTAAAGACTAACTGAATCAGAGATGCATACACTTTTATGAGCAAGAGCTTACTTCATCACAGTAAACTCTTCTTGCAATTATGCTCTTCTCTTAAAGAGAAGAGAAACAGAGACCATAGTATCGTAGACAATACAGATGGGAAAGACAGCATTACCCACTCTCTTGCTATCCAGTTATTTACTACAGTATATTCCCAAAAGCTTTGTGCATTTGAGATTTTACATGACTTAGTCAGCGAGGCATCCACCACTTCCTCTGGGAGAGCCACAGTCTAATAGGATTTATTGTTAAAAAATATAGAATGTTATCCAACCTAATTTTACCCTTAGTTTCATCCACTTGTTTTAGATGGAAGAAGTGTTGTGATTAGAAAAAGGCAGGGAATTAAGGAACCCATCTCCATCACTGCCTTGGTGTGTGACCTTGGCCAAGTCATTGACCTGTCTTTGCCTCTGCTTTCCTGTATTAAGGATAATCACACTTACATTAGTAAAGCTCTTTGAGGTACTGGGGTGAAAAGTCCAGTTATCATTACTTCTAGTGATAGCCAGTCTGAGAAACCAAAATATTTTTGATGCAATCAGCTGTTTGGATGTTCTGTCCAAGAATGGAATTTTCTAAAGCACATCTGGTTTAGCAGCACAAACCTTATTGAGTCGTCTTGTGCACCTTAGTCACTTAAGGAATTTTACAAACCTGACCTAAATGCTGCTATTTACACCTTCATTTACTAGCTAGTAGGAAAGTACTCATACAGTCATGAAAGGCATTGTAAGAGTTGCCTTGTATTCATTTTTATTGTGCCACGAATATTGTATAGCTATGCCACTAAAATCTTGATGCTGCAGAGAGATCTCTGTTGGTTCAGGAGCCTGTTCATGTGGGTTTCATTGCAGGGTGTAACAAAAGCAGGCCCCCAAGGGAGACCATGGCACCCCCTGTTGGTTGTATGTCTCCTGCCTGCCTCAATCTCTAAGATAGCCTCCCTTGATTCTTCACCTGCCACACCTTATTCTTGTTAAAATATTAAGGAAGGGAGGTTGCCCATGGATTTTAGAGTGAGCTCTAGTCAATTCCAGCTGCCTGGAATCCCTGGTCTCAGCCCTGCCCTTAAGCTAAGTAAACCTTCTTGGCCTGTCTGTGCCCCCAGGGTACCTGTAGCCTTAAGGTCAAAACCTGGGATGGGCAAAATGTGGCCCATGGGCTGGATGTGGCCCGCCAAGCCATTCTATCTGGCCTGTGGGGCCCCTAAAAAATTTAGCACATTAATATTTATCTGCCCTGTGCTTCATGTCACGTGACCCTCGATGGCTTGCCAAAACACAGTAAGTGGCCCTCCGCCCAAAATAATTGTCCACCCCTGCTCTAACCTCCTCTTACACCATGCCTATGCCTTGCAGATGTCACTGAATCATCAGTCTCCCTTGTAGGGGTCTTGGCTTTATTGGCCTCCCCTTTTTATTTTTACAGGACCTTTTAGCCCAGGCCCACTGTGTTGGACCTGGCTTCTGGCCTGAAGCTCTGCCCTTGCTCAAGCTCCAGCCTTGCTCCCAAGCCTAGCCAGCCTTTGGGCTCCTTGGCCTGGTCTCCACCCTTCCCATTAGAGCAAATGCTTGCTTTAATGAGATTTCCCCAGGCTCTGGCCTTGCTCCCAGGCCTGTCTCCTGTACTCCCAGGCCTCAGCCCTATTCCTGGGCCTGTTGGGACCTGAAAAACCACTCCTCACAGTCCTATTCATGAACCTCCAGTAAAATCCAAACCAACACATCAGCTTTCTGACTACAACTTAATCCTCTAAGACCACTGGTTATCTGCAGCCCCTCTCCTTACAAAGTCTCATCCCCCTGCCAGCCATCAGCTTCTTACTGGCATATCTCAGGTATAGTAGGTTCTCTATCGAACAGACTTCAACTGGTACCTTACTGCAGAGCTCCTTCCCCTCCAGCCTTTGGGGACCAATTGGCCACTCTGGCTCTGGCCCTATCTTATATGCCAGCAGAGCCGTGCCTCCTTCCAGTCAGGTGACCCCTCCAGGCAGTCTGCTGGTGTTTCCTAATGGGCTTGATTTACTGGCCTCAAGGATGGCCTATAGCAGCAGGGCTAGTATGGATCTAGCTCTCTTGCTGCTTCCCTAGGTTCCTTTCCTATTGTACGAGCACAGCAAAAGGCATTTTTTTCCCTTCCTGGGCTGTGGCTGCCTCTCTCTGTTTACAAATAGCCCACCTCTTTCTGTCCATCTGGGCTCCATTTGCCTCTGTTTTTCTTCCCAAAGTAAAAGGAGCCATAGGTTCTCTGTTACTCAGGGTCAGAGTGTGAGGCTGCTTAAGAGTTGCTCTGGTGTGTCAACTATATTAAAGACGGCTAAGTGCTTCTTACAAGTGCATCAGCTCAGCTGGAGGTGTGATAGAAAGGAAAGTTTATGTAAGTAGCATTGTAATCATCAGGAATAAAATGGCATCTCTCTTATGGATGATACATAATTATGCTCATATTCACTTAATTATTCATCCTGATCCTGCAGAAAGGTACACAGATACAAGTGACTCATCCTGTTAATTTTAGTAAAGCTATTCACATACAGACTTATACACATGCTTATTTTTGTGTAAGCCTGAAATGTAAAAGACCTTATAAAAATGCTTGCTTTAATGAGATTTTTATGAATTAGAGTTTAAACTTACTATGAATAGTAAATAAAATAAATGTTCTATCATACAATCCCAAAATACAGTGTAAATGAATACCAAAAGCCTCCTGGAAAGCCAGTTTCATAGTCTGTGCTTCATCATCTTCTCTTTGTTTTTTAATGAATTTTTTGCATGCAGTTTAAAAAAGCCAAAATTTGTTCACTTGTTGTTCCTTTTTTACCTCAAAAAAGACACTTGGTCAACAGCTGTAATTCTTCTGCAGCCTTGTTTAGTTAAAAATGCAGGCAGCTTTTGTTGCATCCTCAGAATAGCAGCCAAATGGAAGCATGTGAAGGAAGAACAATTGAATGCAACCTTGTCTCCTTAAATATTAAAAAAGTAAAGATAGAGATTTTTTGGGGCCAATACCGATGACTGATTTTTTTGGAGAGCAGCATCCGGCTAGTAAGTCTGTTGTGGGGGATGGGGTGAGGGGGGAAGAAAGGGGCATGGGGGGGTAGATCGAGGCCCCTGTGGTGAGGGAGGGAGTGGGGCTGGGGCAGGGGCAGACACTGCACAGCTGGGGCAGAGCACAGGATGAGCTGTGAGCAGCTCATCTCGGGGGCACAGGGGGAAGTGGGGCAGCTCCCACCATTGCACGCAACCTGGGTGTGCATGGGGAGCATGTGCCCCTGGATCTGTGCATGGGGCGAGGGTGGGCTGCTGCTGCGGGCTGAGCACCAAGCTCTTGCTGGCAGGGGGCCTGGGCTGGGCTGTGGTGGCACTGGGAAGGGGGCTATAGGGGGGGGCTGCAGCCACCATACAATTTGCCGTAGCCCCCCTCTCAGCACTGCCACTGCTTGCAACAAGTGCAACCCAGTTCAACTCCTTCCCACCCTGGAAGAGCCCAGCGCCACCCTCAGCCTGTAGCAGCATCCCACCCTCACCCCAAGTACAGATCTGGGGTCACACCCCCCCATGCCCTCCCAGGGTGCATGCAGCGGCAGGAGCCCCCCCCTCCAATTTAAGCCACTTGTGGCTCTGTCCCATGCCCCACCCCATCTGTGCAGCACCTGCCCAAGCCCCAGCCCCACTCCCTCCCTCACCAGTGTGGGCTTCAATCTGTCCCCCACATGTCCCTTCTTCCACAACAGACTTACCAGCCAGACTAGGCTGTTCTGCACGCTGTCGGGCTGCATTCCTGGACTCCTGTTTGCTGCGCTCCAGCTGTGTGCATGCACGGGGCATTTATCAGTAACATTATTGGCCATGTCAGCCAAAAAAAGCTGATTGCCAATACTGGCAATTTTCTTTATATCAGTGCTGATCCAATATGGGACTGATGTATCAGTGCACCTCTAAAAGAAAGAGAATAAATATTTGCAATTACAAATTTGATGCTGGAAAATCTGTAAGACCCATTTAATAGAAACATTTCTTTCAACCGTCCTATTTCAAGGCTAATAGATTATCAAGAATAGGATTATTGTTGCTTCTGTGAGTACAGAGCTGTAGAGGTAGAATAAATGTCCCAGTTCAAAAAAGCAAAAGGAAGATGATTAGTAAAAACCACTCACAGCTTGGTTCGAGCATCTTGTATATAGAGGGATATTTGGGTTTTTATTTACTCTGTCCACCAGAAAATATACATACTTATTTAAAATGGTACATTGGTTTTATCTTTTGCTGATGCTGTGAATTGCTCAGAGAGGGAATTCGGGTTTCCTACAACCCAGCAGTGTTCTAACTACTGGGTTCTGAAGGGATGAGGATATTCCATGACACTACTTCTTTCCCAAGTCTCCTTTTGTACCCAGCTTTTGGTGCTCCTGATTTTGTGCTCTGTTTCTTCTAGGTTACTGGGAATAAAATGACATCACTTAACCTAGCCACCATATTTGGTCCCAACCTGTTACACAAACAGAAGTCTACAGACAAAGAATTCTCAGTTCAGAGTTCAGCTCGAGCAGAAGAGAGTACTGCCATCATAGCTGTAGTACAAAAAATGATTGAAAATTATGAGATTCTCTTCATGGTAGGTGAAAGTTTCTTCATGTTATCCTAACCCGTTTTATCTTTAACGCTTTTATGTCCAGAACTCCTAGTTGGTGCTCTCAGGGAGCTGCATTGAGCTATGTTTAAATCAATTATCTGAACATTGTTATGTGAAGAGATTATTAGAATTGACTTAATACATTTGGTAAACAGGACACATTTTTGCATTAAGGGAAATACTTTGTATGAGGGTTAAATATTAACAACCAGTACATAAACATTTCTTGCATGTAAAGGCAAATAAGTCCTGAGAAGCTGAATTGGTTCTCTGAAAGGTTTACGCTGTTGCTGTGTGTGTGTGCATGCATGCATGTGCACATAGGCAGCAGAAGGCTGGGGCGTGGAAGGGCTTAGCTACTCACAAACTAATTTTGTGGCAGCCAGCAACAGCAGCAGCACCATGGCACTGCTCAGCGTGCAGCCAGGCCAGTGCCCCGCACACGTTCACCTCCACGTGGCTGAGAAAGAAGAGGCTAACGGCGCATTCCTTCCACCATGCAGAGCATGATGGGAGTTGTAATTCTCATGCGGGTACATGCACTTGCCCCTCCTCCCCATAACATTTTCTCCCTCCGTCTACGTGTGTGCATACGCATATGAGAGAGACAGACAGAAAGAAACACTTGTTTGTAGAAAACCTTTTATTAATCTCAAATGGAAACACTGCATAATTATGTTTTTAAAAAATCTAGCAAAGTAGTACAAAGGCTTGCTGTCTCTGCATTGTCAGGGATTGTGCCTACATGAGCCATTGACTGGGCAGTAGCTCATTACTACAGCACAGTGGCGTCATGTGGCACAAAGCTTACTGCACAGTAGTAATAAACTACTGTGCATTCACATCACCTAAAAGCTGTTCAGTGATTCTACTTCACAGTAACTCAGATGTCTTCGCAGTAACAACTGCACAGTCAGTGTCTTGTGTAGAAGAAGTGGCCAGGGGATCAGGAAGAGACAAGGTTAGAATTTAGGACAAGAGAGGAAGGAGAAACTTTTAGTCTCTTCAAAGATTTCCCTACTTCCCACTTCCTTGTGGGCTTGTGGAAAAGACAGAAGGAAGGGGTTTTGTGCCTTGTTAATTGGCTAAAAGGGATGCAACATAAGCTTACTGGCTCCCAACTACCTTTCCCCTTCCAAAGGAAGGTTGACCTGTGCTGAACAAGTTATTGCCAAATAGTTCCCAGATGTGTTACTTAATACAGTTGTGCCCTAGATAAACCACATTCTTGGTGTCTTGTCTTCCTGTGGTGTCTGGGGCAATGAATTGTATGGTCTCATCCTTGTCTTCAGTTGTCTACAAAAGTGTCAGTCTGTTTGCCTGATTTGTGATCTTGGCTGAAAGGAGCCTGTGTCCTGGACTAGCAGAGGATAGTATTGGTCTGAACTGTCATGCTATTATCTTAAGGGAACCAGATACACAAAAAAATGTTTTGAAGAAAACTTTGTCCTGGAAACGTAAAACTTGTGTGTGTGTGTGTGTATAAATAAATAAGTAAAAGCACCCCGAGTAACCAAGGAGCACAATATGCTGTACTAGAGGCAATTAGTTCCCAAAGCAGAAGATACGAGCTCTGGAAAACTCCTTCAGTGCTGCAGTGTAAAGGGTCACCTGGCAAAAGAGTCTATTGTGTGGTGCAGGCAGTCCTTGGACTTATGACACAATTGGTTCCTGAAAACTGCATCTTAAGTCGAAATGTTGTAACTCGGAATCAATTTTCTCATAAGAAACAATGTTATAAATGGGGGATTGGTTCCTGAACCAAGGCCCAATACCCTATTTTCACCAACAATACCCCAGAATTTTGTACTCGATTCAATTATAGATGAGTAATATAGCTACATTAATGTATTTTTATTGTAAATAGCAATTATATTGATTTGGAAGGACTTCTTTGAGGTGACTTTGCTGGACTTTTTGAAAGGTTCTTGGCTGGACTTTCTGAAGGGTTCATGACTGGAGTCTTCTCAGGAGTTTTGGCTGCAGGTTTTTCTGGAGTCTTGTCTGCTTTCTTAAAGAAAGTGTCCAAGGACGTTTGGACAGATGTTCTCCAGGGAGATAAGCGATGCAGCAAACTTGTTCGTTGTCATGGTGTCTCATCGGATCAAGCATTGTAAAGTCGAAACTGATGTCATAAAGTTGAAACAGGGTGTCAGTTTATAAACATTGCAAGTGCGAAACGTTGTAACTTGAAACGTTGTAAGTCGAGGACTGCCTGCATATGGTACAAGCCCTGCTGGCATAAGTATGTTGGCCAGCAGGGGTGAAAAGATCACACCCACTAGCTGATGTAACTATAACAGAAAAGACCCTCGTGAAGAGAAAGCAGTGTTGGCAGAAGATAGCTTTTTCTGGCTTAGCTTGTGATATTGAGGGAGGTATAGCTAAGTTTGGCAGGAAAACCTCTTCTGCTGCCGTACACTGCATCTTTACTTGAGACTCTGTTAACATATCTATGACAGCATAGCTACAGCAGCAGAGAGTCTATAATATAGTCGTGTCCCAAGACGTAGTTCTGTAATGTAACATAGGTTTGAGCTAAGTATTGTAGCCCAAGAAAAAGGTGGGAAGCTCCCATGATATTACAGTGAAGGACTGAGCTACAGAGAAGAGCACATGAAAGTGACAATAAACTCTGATTGTGGGTCCAACCACAAGATGAGCTGCTCTGTGGTTTTTGTGTCCTTTATTTCACATGGTATTTGCTTTCATTACATCCTTTGCATATATTTTTTCTTTTCATTTCAGTAAAGCATTCAGCAATTTGTTTTTTGTCGTGTTTTTTACAGTTCGGGAAAATTTCTCAGCTATTTTTTCCTTCTACGGGAAGAAAAATCTGACAGAATAGAAATCCTCTGAGATCTCTCCATGCTCTAGCAAGGCTGGCAGTAATGATTTTGTTACAGCAAGTTTAAAGTAAAACAAATGTTGACATATTATTATTATTATTATTATTATTATTATTATTATTATTATTTTTATTTCTCTGTAAGAACATTTTACAGAACAACCACATTTCAGCACATTACACACATTCAGAATTTTAGGTGTGGAGAGGGTGGGGTTTCAGGATTGATTAGCCTGCATATAGACGCTTTTAATTGCGACAGTTTTATTCCTTTAGCTCTTCAGGGCTTTCATTATTTTCCGAAGCTTATACTCAGTGCTGGAAAAATTACAAATAGTTTTCTTTTGGTTTTTTGTTTTGTTTTGTTTTGTTTTGTTTTTTTAATGGCTTTTCAGTTTTGGAGTCTTATTAAAATCTGTGGACCTAAAATTGAGACTAAATGGCTAGCTGTGTGCAAAGAAAGGTTAAACTCACTTAAATAGTCTTTTTATGAGCAAAGATGGGCATGACTGGTTAGGCTGCAGTACTTTAGAGAAGGACTTGGGTGTTACAGTAAACCATAAGGTGCATATAAGCCAACAATGTGCTCTTGTTGCAAAATTAGCCAGTAGTATAGTAGGCTGTATTAACAGAAGTGTCATTTGCAAATCAAAGAAAGCAATTCTTCTACTCTATTCAGGACTGGTAAGGGCTCACCTGGAGTACTGTGTCCAGTTTTGGGTCCCACACTCCCAAGAAGGATATGGACAGTTTGGGAAGGGTCTAATGCAGAGCAACAGAAATTATTTGGGACCTTGGAGGCATATTTTATGAGGAAAGGCTGAAAGAACTAGATTTTTTTACTCTGGAGCAGAGAAAACACAGAGGGGATTTGATGACAGTCTTAAAATACCTGAAAGGTGATTATAGAGAGGATGGAGATGATGAGCTTTTCTCCATGGCTGTAGGGGACAGGATTAGAAGCAATGGCCTCAAACTACAGCAGGGAAAATTTAGGCTGGAGATTAGGAGACATTTTCTGACTGTGAAGGTGGACAAGCATTAAAACAGGCAGTCTAGAGAACTGGTGGAATCTCCATCCTTGGAAGTTTTCAAGAGAAGGTTGGGCAGACACCTGCATTGGATGGCTTAAATCAGGGATGCTCCTGCCTTAAGCAGGGAGCTGGACTAGATGACCTTGTGAGGTCCCTTCTAGCCCCATTTTCCTATGATCCTTTTTTGCATTGATTTTTTTTTTTTTAACTTTTAGAAATGTACAGAACATATTACTTAGTGCAAGGTTCAACAAACAGGTGTTTCCAGCATCAAGTTTTGTCTCATGTCCATACTTGTTTTTATGTATATCTTTGTCAACCTGCTTATAATTATTGTTTTATCAAACCTCCACAATGATCTATTTTCAACTTGTTGATATCTTGTTTGGAAGCAATGGAATGCTTTTTTACTCTCTGGCTAATTAGCACTCTGCATCCTTTGTTAGGTGGTGGCATGGTGGGAAAAAAACTGCAAATGTATTTGTAATGAAGCTCTGATGATTCACAATCAGGCAGCAGTAAATTGTTTTCCAAACCCAAAGGAGAGGGGAAGCCAGGACTGCTGTTTATACTTATTGTTTGACATTTGTACTACTTTTCAAGCAGAGAAACATCTGGACTAGAGCATACAGTCACAGCATATAACCTACACCCTGGCAGTAATGCACTACATTTTTCTGAAGCTGGGTCCTGGCTTCAGCATTGAAACTGGATCAAGATTTGTGAACTAAAAACTAGTAGAACAGAATGTGATACTTGGCCCAGACCACAAACTTCAGAATGGTTTTGAGTTACTGGTAGGTCACAAAGGTTCTGTTAGAAAGAACCCAGATTACTATGGACTGTTTGGATTTCTAAAATGGATTCCAGCAATTCAGATTAACTCCAACAGTCTGCAGGCCTGCAGATTTACTGTGATGCAGTAGATGCATTCTTATTTTATTCTACTGTCCTATCAGACTCGAATTGTTAATTTATTTTGGTCTCCAAACCCCTCTCACTTCCTTGCAGATGCACAAAAATATAGTCTAGGGACTCATAAAAGAGTGTTGTTTGCCTGGCTCTTAACTAAGGCGCTATTCCTGCAACTGGATCCATGG